ATGAGGGCCACCTACTTCAAGATCACTCAGGAAATGCTGGATCAGTGCCCACATGCCGCCTTCAAGTCCATGGTCTATGTGCTGGCCTTCTTCCACGCCGTGGTACAGGAGCGGAGGAAGTTTGGCAAGATCGGCTGGAACGTGTACTATGACTTCAACGAGTCCGACTTCCAGGTGCCAGCTACTGCTGCCTTCCCCACCCCCGCCAAGTCCCGGCCGTGTCACCTCCTGCCTCCATGGGCTGCTCTCTCTCTCATCGGGCTGTACCCCTTCTCTTAAGGTCTGCATGGAAATCCTCAACACGTACCTGACAAAAGCCTTCCAGCAGCACGACCCCCGCATCCCATGGGGCAGCCTGAAGTACCTCATTGGGGAGGTAGGAGTGCCTGGGAACCCTGGACGGCTGCAGCTAGACCAGGCCCTGGTGCCCTGGGTCCTTTCTCACTGCTGCTCCCCATGGTTGCGGGTGTCCGAGGCCCTGTGACATCAGCCCGGCCCAGCCTAGGGGCCGCTCAAGGTCCTGGGGACCTCATGCATGGGGGTCCTTGAGCCGGATTGTGGCCTCACCAGGCCGTGGGCCTGTCCACCAGCTCCAGGGACAACAGTGACCCTGAGCCGGGTGGCTGCTGACTTCTTTGGTTTGGTTCTGTTTTGTTTTACTTGTCTGGTGCTTAGTAGGGGTTTCTATCGTTCCATTCCCGCGCCACTCTGGGCCCGATGCCTGGAGAGATCTTTCCGCAGCTCCTCCATGCTGTGGGGCTCGAAGGTTATTCAAACCAGCAGGTCAGAGCTGAGCAGTGGCCAGGTGGGGAGGAGCTCGCCCAGGGCCCAGCAGACACACCCTGCTGGCCCTCACTGGTCTCCGTTTCAGGTCATGTATGGGGGACGCGCCATCGACAGCTTCGACCGTCGCATCCTGACCACCTACATGGATGAGTACCTGGGCGACTTCATCTTCGACACCTTCCAGCCATTCCACTTCTTCTGGAACAAGGAGGTGGACTACAAAATCCCCACTGGGGATATAAAGGAGAAATTTGTTGGTGAGATTTCTTTCATATGTTGGCCAAAGGCAGGGCCTCGATGGCTTGTAGAATCAGGAAATGTTAGGAAGCCTTCTCAAAATTTTTAAATTTCAGTTGACAAAGGAAGGTTGGGGGTGGGGGAGTTATCTTCCATTCGTTGATTAACTCTCTAAAAGCCTGCCACAACCTGGGCTGTTTAGTCTGAAGCCAGGAGCTGGGAGCCCCGTCCCTGTCTCCTGCGTGGACAGCAGAGGCCCAAGCATTTGAACCATCACCTGCTGTCTCCTGGGCCACATAAGCGGGAAGCTGGACTGGGATTGGAGTGGTTGGGGCTTGAATTCAACACTCTCGACACGGGCTGCAGTCCCCATGGTGTTGTAGCTGCTGTACCAAACACCTGTGTCTAAAGTTTGTTAAAGTGCTCTTCTGTTTCCGGTGGCTGCCTCGGTGGCTCTCCCAACCCTGGCCAGGCTGGGGCTTCATGCAGGTCAGGCCTGGTCCCTGAGTGGGCCTGTGAAGGACCTGACAGCTGCGCGAGCTAGGTCAAGCCTCCTATCCTGGGGCAGGGCCACCTCTAGGACAGTGCAGCCACAAGCTCAGTGGGCATCTGCATTCAGAGCTGTGTCTGCGCATGCCTGTGTGTGTGTGGTGTGTGTAGTGTGTATGGAATAAACACTTCCACACTACAGTGCAAGTCTCAGCCATGCCCATCTGGGACCCTCGGAACTGGGGTGGGTTTGCAGTGTGGCCTCTGTTCCCTGTGGTTCTAGAAGCCATTGAGGCCCTGCCTCTGGCCAACACGCCGGAAGTGTTTGGTCTTCATCCTAATGCCGAGATTGGCTACTACACACAGGCAGCCCGAGATATGTGGGGGCACCTGCTGGAGCTGCAGCCGCAGACGGGTGAGCAGGCTGGTGGGTGGGCGCGGGTGCTCTGGGGACCCTCCAAGGACCGGCACCTCGGGATGTGCTGGTACTGGTTGTAGGGGAGTCTAGCACTGGCGTGAGCCGCGATGACTACATCGGCAGCGTGGCCAAGGACATCGAGCACAAGATGCCCAAGGTCTTTGACCTAGACCAGGTCCGGAAGCAGCTGGGCTTTGGCATCTCCCCCACCTCGGTGGTACTCCTGCAGGAGCTGGAGCGCTTCAACAAGCTTGCCGTGCGGATGGCACGGTCGCTGGCCGAGCTGCAGAGGGTGAGCCTGGCATGTGCATGCGTGACGGGGGAACAGCGGGGGAGGCAGCGCGCACCACACTTGGGGCCGTCTCACCCCACTGCACTTGTTTTGGTCACCAGGCCTTGGCAGGGGAAGTTGGGATGAGCAGCGAGCTGGACGATGTGGCCAGGTCCCTCTTCATTGGACACATCCCTGGCATCTGGAGGAAGCTCGCCCCTGACACCCTCAAGTCCCTGGGGAACTGGATGGTATACTTCCTGCGCAGGTTCAGCCAGTACACATCCTGGGTGAGTGAGGGCAGCAAGCCGGCCTGGCTCCCGCAGCTCCTCAGGGTCTCTGTGCGTTGCTCTGCCTTTACTCCCTTCCACGTGAGGCCTGCTCTACACACTGGGTTTTTAGATTGTTTATCTGAGGTGCACGTGCACACTCCCACGAGAGCAGCCTCCATCTGCTAGTTCACTCTAAGCAGTCGTAGTGACTGGGGCTGAGTCAATCTGAAACCGGGGGCTTTTTCCAGGTCTCCCACATGAGCACAGGAGCCCAAGGAGCTGGGCCCTCCTCCACTGCTTTCCCAGGGGCATTAGCAGGGAGATGGATCAGCAGTTGGAGCAGCTGGGACTCAAATCTGTGCCCTGCTATGCGATGCCCGCACTCCAAGTGGCAGCTTCACCTGCCGTGCCCTGTGCATTGGCTATCAGCTGTTCTGTCTTAGGTCACACAGATATGGCTCTTTCTGGATGTCCTGTGTCCTGGTTCCTCTGATGGACATCTGGGTGGTCATGGGACATGTGTGTTCTGCCACACTCGGGAACGTGTGCCTCAGAATCCACAGTATGATATGCGTGTGTGTGCTGTGGCTGTCTCCCAGTGTGGCTGTCTGCCGCTGTGCCGCACACTGGCTGGAGAGCTGTGTGACAGTGCTGGCGCTATATCTCCCAGCTCCTCCTCTCCAGAGGTTTAAATGTCTCCTCACCTGTCTTCAGGACTCTGAGCTACGGAGACTCTCAGGAGACTCGGCTCCTGTGCTGCTCGGGTTTCCCTCTCACACCTTTGACCCATCTGGCATTTGGCAGGCCAGCTGAATTTCATTCTTCTCCATGTGGGCTGCCACTGTGCCCCTGAGGGGGGGACTTGCTAACCCTCTGGGGTTGCGCTTGACCCTGGCGTCTGGTGGCAGCCTCCAACCCCAGCCCTCATTCTACTCTTCCCGTAGGTCACCGAGGGCGAGCCTGGCGTCATGTGGCTCTCGGGGCTGCACATCCCCGAGTCCTACCTCACGGCGCTGGTACAGGCCACATGCCGCAAGAACGGCTGGCCCCTGGACCGCTCCACCCTGTTCACGCAGGTCACCAAGTTCCAGGATGCGGAGGAAGTGAACGAGCGGGCAGGACAAGGTGGGCCTCTCCCTGAGCTGGCCTCCATGAAAGGGCCAGGCTGTGTCTGCTCACCACCTCCCTGAGCGGGCACAGGGCTTCCCTTCTCCATTGGCACCTGGGGTTCAACCTTGTTAGTTCCTGGGAAATGGGCTCCTAGTCAGCCTTGGCTCTGGACATGAACTGGGTCAGCAGGCAGCGTCCTGTGAGCTGGGAGGCTGTGTGGGAGCCATTTCTCTAACTTCAGCTCCCACAGGTGTTGGCTTCCAGCTAGGCAGCTGGTGATTGCTGCTCCCTGCCATGCGCACAGGGGCTCATGGGGCGGTGTCTGGACTGTCACGTTCCCTGGGGCCACACGACAGACCCTTCTCAGCCTCTTCTTTGTGGCCAAGAGCCTGCTCTCATGGGGTTCCTGAGGCGCCAGCTCTGACTTGTGCCTGGATGCCAAGTCCGCACTTGCTCCTCAGGGTGAGGGAGGCGTAATCTGTGGGGTCCCTACTGTGCTGCTCAGGGTGTGGGAGAAGTCCGAGTGTGCAAGGGCAGCCGGCTGTGGGTGCTCCACGTGGCTAGCACTTCCCCTTCTGCCTGCAGGGTGCTTTGTCTCAGGGCTGTACTTGGAGGGCGCCGACTGGGACACAGAGGCAGGCTGTCTGATCAAGAGCAAACCCAAGGTGCTGGTTGTGGAGCTGCCCATCCTCAAGATCATCCCCATTGAAGCCCACCGCCTCAAACTGCAGGTGAAGGCCAGCTGCCGGCCACCCTGTGCCTGGCCACGTGCCGGGACCACAGCTGTGCGGGAGGGCGTTGTGGGAGATTCATGAAGGGGTGGCCTGTCTGAGCGTGCAGTGCCCAGCCACAGCCCTGCCTCCTCCGTGGCCCTCCCCTGCAGAACACCTTCCGGACCCCCGTCTACACCACCTCCATGCGACGCAACGCCATGGGAGTCGGCCTGGTCTTTGAAGCAGATCTCTTCACCACGAGGCACATTTCTCACTGGGTGCTGCAAGGGGTGTGCCTCACCTTGAATTCAGACTGACGCAGGGCCAAGGCCACGGCTGCCGTCCACCTGCTGCGCGCTCCCGGCGGGCCGGCACTGCCGCTGTGCCCCCTTCTTTGATGTCAGCCGCTCAGCTCCAACCAGAAAGCTATCCATAATGGTTTTGTTTTTTAAACTCCTTTTCCAGGATTCTTGTACTCAACAAGCAAGCCCCCAGAGCCCCTGGGCTGTGGAGCTGTGTCAAGGCCTTACCTGGACTGCTGCCCACTCTGCCAGGTCTGAGAAGTGGTGTGGGGTCAGGCTCAGCGGGGCATCGAGGGCTCGCAGCCCTGGCAGGCCCTGGCAGAGCTCCAGCAGGTGCCATGGGCACCCACAGCTCCTCACCCTCCCACCCTGGGTAAGAATAGGACACAAGGCACAAAGAAGGGAGGTTGAGAAAATAAAGTTTGTTGGGATCTTGAACATTTTCGGAAACACTAACAGAAAAATATGCACACACACACGGGGGCTGTAGTGACAGGAGCGGTCATGCCATCTTGGTCCTGTGACACGTGGGGGATGGCTGCTGCCCACGGCGGGCAGGGCTGTCAGGAGGGCACGGGTGTCTCCAGGGCCAGGGCTGAGGCTGGCGGAGTTGCTCGATGCAGGTGCGTGGCTCTCGGATGTCATGGACGCCAGTGGCGGTGCAGCCTGGGCTGTGAGCGTGCACATTACACCGCGTGGGAGCAGCAGCGATTCGGCCCGCAGGTATCTGGCCACGGCAGTGGGTGATGTGCGTTGTTCTGCGGGGTGTCATGAGCAGCACTCGGGGCCGGGGAGACGACAGATCAGCATGCGTGGGACGGGGACACGAGGAGTGGATGGATTTCCTAGTAGCGCTCACAGTGCCGGCCGGGGCGGCCGGGCCTCACACAGTTCTGTCCGTCCCTGAGTGCTTCCGCACCACCTTGCCTCCATTCACCTGGTCCACCGCCAGCGTCTCCACCTCGGGCTGGGCCTGTGGCGGGCTGGCGTGGTGGATGCGGTGTGCCACCCCCACATGGGCCTTGTGTGGCTTCTCGCGGGCTGGGCTGGGCTGTTCGCTGGCGCCACGGTCGGAGGCGATGGGTGGGATGACAAGCGGCCGCTCCTTGATGAGGTGGACTTCCGCTGACTCCCGGGCCAGCAAGAAGGGGGTGGGGTCCGGCATGGCGTCCACAGGCTCTCGCAGGAGCAGCTTGCGGCTCTCGGCCCCGAACCTGTAGACCTCCTCGAATTCGGGGTGCAGGGGTGCCGACAGGCTCTTCTTCATGCGGCGGCGCGGCGTCTCGGGCAGCCTGTCCTTGGGTGGCGCGGGCTTGTAGCCTGCCAGCACGGGGCTGCCGGCCGGGCTGGCGTCCGAGGTGCTGGGGCTGAGCAGCTTCTTCTTGGTGGCGTGCAGCTGCGAGGTCAGGTAGGCGATGGTGCCGGCGCGTTGCTCCAGCTCGCTGGACAGCAGGCTCAGCTTGTGGCTGCGGCCCTTGAGCTCCTCCAGGTACTTCTTTTCACGCTCGCGCATCGTGTGCTCCAGCACGGCGATCATGGCGTTCTTCTGCTCCAGCTCCTGCAGCAGCTCCTGGTTCTCGTCTTCCCGCAGCCGCAGCTGCGCCTCCAGCTCCTCACAGCGCTGCCTCAGCTCGCTGCTCCTGGACGCTGCATCTCCTGCGGAACGAGCCCAGGACCCAGCTGAGGGCTACCATGCCAGGGTAGCGACCTTGGGCCTGTTTGCCTCCTAGGGGACAGGGGGCAGAGGCCTGGACCCCAGGCCTTTTCCAGCTCCTGCCCCGACTCTGAGGAGATGCTGGCAGTGACCAAGGTAGTTTCAGGTGCCATCCATTAGATGCCAACCCCCCGGCCATACCTACTAGGTGCCTCTCCTGCTCAGGACGGTTTAATCTACAACATGGAACACCTCTGCCTACAGTACCACTCACCAAGGGGGGAGCGTAGGGGGGTCGGCCCATAGGCCCTGTTCTGCAGAGCACCTGCAGCCCTTCCCCACTGCCTCATGCCCCGTGCTGACAACACTTACCACCCACACAGGCTGCCCGCTGGCCGGGACCTGCTCCTCACTGACCTGAGGGAGCCAGGCCCCAGGCAGGGAACTCCATGTCCCCCTCGTGCTGGCCAACCACACACCTCCCTGTGGTCTTCCCTCCGGCCCACCCTGTATTTGGGAAGTGGACCGCCCAGGGTCCTACTCCAACAGAATGCAGGTGACCAGGGCTGCTGGGCTCCACTCACACCTGAGCTCCAGCAGTGCCCTACCTGCTGTCATGACCTCCCCGGCCTACCCACACACCTGTGTCATCTCCTGGGGACACAGCCAGCAGCACTCAGTGCCCCACTGCTGCGTGGAACCTGTTTGTCCCTCCAGCCAGCCCTGGCCTGCTCGAGTCCCTGGGGTGCCTGGCCTTGTCTGGGCGTGGCGCTGGCCTGCTCGAGCTTGCTGAGTGTGTGTGATGGCAGCCAGGGCTCTCCCTTGGAAGAACCCTGAAGGCCTCTGGAATTCAGAGAGGGGACCAGTACTGTGCTGCCATGGGTAGCCACTGCCTGCCACTGGCATCTCCACCCCACAGCACCCATTTAAGGCTCAGCTGCGTGGCTTGCAATCCAGTTCCCTGCTAACACAGGGAGCCAGGTGACCCAGCACCTATCTCCCTGCCACTCACCTGAGACCTGCATGGAATTTCTGGGTTCAGCCTGGCCCAGCTCCAGCTGTTGCAGCCATGTGATGGATTAACTCAGTAGAGGAAGGCTCTTCCTCTCCATCTCCCTGTCACTCTGCCTTTCAAAGAAGCGAATCTTTTAAAAAGCAGGGAGGGGGCCGATGCCATAGCCAAGCAGCTAAAGTACTTGCTTTGCACACGCCGTTATCCAATATGAACACTGGTTCGTATCCTGGCAGCCCTGCTTCCCATCCAGCTCCCTGCCTGTGGCCTGGGAAAGCAGTTGAGGACGGCCCAAAGTCTTGGGACCCTGCACCCATGTGGGAGACCTGGAGGAAACTCCCAGCTCCGGGCTCCTGGCTTCAGATCGGCACAGCTTCGGCTGTTGTGGCCACTTGGGGAGTAAATCAGTGGATAAAAGATCTTCCTCTCTGTCTCTCCTCCTCTCTATATATCTGACTTCCCAATAAAAATAAAATCTTTTTTTTTAAGACAGGGAGAATGAGATCTGGCTGCAAGGCTACCTGTGGGGCGCAGGGACCCAGCTGAGCAATGCCCCTTGGAATGCCCTTGCTGCCAGTCTGGCAATGCAGCCCCAGCAGAGGCCGCCCAGACACATGCGTATCCTCCTGGGAAAGGACCCTGGCCTGGGCTCTCATGTCCCAGACTCGCGAGTGCTGCTGGGGGACGAGCTGGCACCACCGGCTCTTGTCCCCGATTCCAAAACTACCTTTGGGACTCCGCAGCTCCTGTTCTGTCAGTTTTTAAATGTGTTGTTGGTGTTGTCTACTTGGAAGGCAGAGCGTGACCTCTGAGCTGCTGCTTCATTCCCCACAGGCCTGCAAGAGTCAGGGCTGAGCCAGGCTGAGTCCCAGAGCCGATGATCCCACCCGGGTCTCCCAGGGCCAGAGGACTGAGCTGTCACCACAGCTCAATGCGCGCTAGCGGGAGCTGAAACCAGCAGCCAGGCCCTGAAGCAGAGCGCGCCCAGACCTTGGCCATCACAACAGGATAGGGCTCTACCCACATCCTGTAGCTCCCTGGGTAGAAGCAAAGTGAAGACTCCATCACCCGGGGATAGTGTCCCCAACGGGCTCCTCTGAGCCCTGCAAATCCTCAGCACACAGCCCCTGGAGGTGGAAGCCTCCTGAGGGACCCCACGCAACAAGGGGCTCTGCAAACTGGGGTGCTGGGGGGCTTGGGGAGCTCTGTCCAGAGTCTCCTCTGAAGTGCCCGCGAAGCTTGTTAGTACTGTCTGGTTGCTGACAGCAGCATGGGGCATCTAACACGCTCCACAGCACACGCACAGATGACACCTGCAACACAAAATCTGGTCACACAGCAGGCCCAGCACAAGGCACACAGCTCCCGCTGCTGTCATGGCCTCCTCCAGGCCAGCACTGAGAGGCCCCAGCTCCCTGCCAGGGGACACAAGGGTGAGGGGCCACTGTGCCAGCCCCACCCTCAGCCTCAATCACTAGGGTTTTGCACATTCACGGTCAGAAACGCATGACCGTCAGGAGCTGCAGTCACTGTCCCCAGGTTACAGCTCCGGGGCTGTGCTGGCCACCTGCAACCCTCACAGCCCACACTTCAGCCTGCCGCTGCCAGAGAGGAGGGCCACCGTCCAGCCACCAAGGGCGACCCCTGGCGGGGACAGCACTTACCTGTCTGTCCAGAACTTTTGACCGTCAGCTCGTATGTTAAGTCTACAAAGGAAAACATGTATGTTAACTCTGAGTCTTCAGCTCTGAAAATGCGCAGCTGACCCCGGGCTCCGTCTGCCAGCCCAGCCCAACAGTGATAGCTAAGGGCGTCAGCCACTCTGGGTTGGGCAGCACTCAGAGGGGGACCCTCCTGCCTGCCCCCCCAACCCAGAGCCATGAAATATCACGCTCTACCTAACACACAAGCTGTGTGTTGGTTCCAAAATGCACCATCAAGTCTAATCAAGGTCCTCATATCCCCAGACACGCCCTGTGCCATGGCTGCAACTGCAGCTCTGCCCTGCCCATGCGGCTGGTACCTGTGCCATGGCTGCACCTGCAGCTCTGCCCTGCCCATGCCGGCTGGTACCTGTGCAGTGCTGCTGCAGCCGCCGGATCTCGGCATGCAGGCCCTTGAGCGTGCTGGCATGCTCCCGTTGCAGGAACAGCAGGTTCTTCTGGGCACTGTGCAGCTGGTTCTCCAGGTTTGTGGCTGCCATGCTGACATCCAGGTGGCCTGCAGGAAAGACCGTGGTCACTGCCACCTGCTCGCCTTGGCTTGGCACAGGCTGGACAGGAGGCCCAGGAGGCCCCAAGGCACCTGCTGCATGCCAGGGCCGTGGTGGGCTACACCTGCACCACGTCTGGTACATGAGGAGCTGAGCCCTGTGTGGGGGTCACTGCATGGGCCAACGAGGAACAGGGGTCACAGGCATAGACCCAGGCCTTGGGTATTACCCAAGCATTCTCCCACAGGCCACCAGTAACACATGTGGTAGGGGAAAGATTGCCCCTTTGGCCCCATGAGGAAACCCTGGCCCCAGCAGTGGCCTACATGTGGCTTCCTGGTGCTGAGTGGAGCCGAAGCAGGAGGGAGGAAGAAGAGGGCCCTGTGGAGGCTGGAGAGCTGAGCTCTGGCCCTGGGGCCTCTCCTGCCTCACCCCCAGGGCCTCAGACTCATGGGGACCTGAGAGACTCGGAAGGCGCCATCCTCCTAGCACTGTCACCAGTCATTGAGGACACTGTGCAGTCCGGAGATGTTGTGGACAAAATGCAGTTCTCTATTCACTGGTTATTCTAACACAAGACCTCAGAGCACACTGTCCCTAACTTGCTTTGCCAGGGAACAAACCCTGAAGGACACGCTCCAAGCTTTTGCTGCCGGTTGGCAAGCAGGCAGCTCTGGACGCTGTCAGCGGCCCAAGCCCCACGGGCTGCTATGCAGGATACGTAGCCAGCACTGTGTCTGCCTGCTGGTTCCAGAGCCAACAGCCAGCAGCGGCACCTGCAGGCACACACATCCACCCACACAGCAGAGAGCGGGAAATGCTGTGGCTTTTAAGAGATTAATTTTTATTGGAAAGTCAGATATACAGAGAGGAGGAGAGACAGGAGGAGAGACAGAGAGGAGGAGAGACAGAGAGGAAGATCCCCCATCTATTGATTCACTCCCCAAGTGTCCGCAACAGCCAGAGCTGAGCTGATCTGAAGCCAGGAGCCTTTTCCAGGTCTCCCACACGGGTGCAGGGTCCCAAGGCTTTAGGCCATCCTCAACTGCTTTCCCAGGCCACAAGCAGGGAGCTGGATGGGAAGCAGGGCTGCCGGGATTAGAATTGGTGCCCATATGGGATCCTGGTGCATGCTAGGTGAGGACTTTGGCTGCTAGGCTATGGCACCAGGCCTGGGAAACACTGTGCGAGGGGAGCAAGCGGCAGGTCCTGGACCAGGGCGAGCAGCAGCTGTGAAGGCTGACAGGTCTGTGGGAGGCCTGCACACACCCAGCTTCTGGGTCCAGGCTGTTGCTAGGAATATATCCATGGAAGTCCAAGTAAAGCATGAAAGCGGGTAGCTCCGTCACGGAGCGTGAGGCAGCTGCATGGCTCGTGGGCCCTGAGAGAGCCCAGGGGCTGCCGCCCACGCCTGCCTGCCTCGGCTCGTGGGCCCTGAGAGAGCGCAGGGGCTGCCGCCCACGCCTGCCTGCCTCGGCTCGTGGGCCCTGAGAGAGCCCAGGGGCTGCCGCCCACGCCTGCCTGCCTCGGCTTGTGCCCACCTTGCCGACTTTCCACTCCACAGACATTCTTCCCTGGGAACCCTGAGGGGCCATCCTTTCCAGATGGAACCCCACTGCAGTCTGCTCCATTGCCCTGGTGGCATGGCCTTCCCAGTGATGGATAGTCACTGCCTAAGCCAAGGGCAGGGTCTTTTCCCTTGGCCTCTGTGGGACCAGCCCTGCCTGGCCCAGTGCTGGACTGGCAGATGCCTGCAGACCGGCACACCCCTTTTCCAGAGTTCAGGGGAGCAGGAGGAATGAGCCCCAAAGGGCACAGCTGGATGAAGCCACATCTCTCCTCACTAGGGACCAGATCTCAGACAAGAAGGGCTGAGCTCTCGGGTCAGGAGGCCTGGGGTAGTTGGAACACTCCTCCACTCTCCTGTGACCACAGCTTGAGGCAGCCAAGACCTGCATGCACTCTCCCGCCCTCCCCCCACACACATACACTTCCCTGCTCTGGTGCCTGGGCACATGGCCGGTCCAGAGGCCCCTCGGACTTCCCGGCCTCTGAGCATCGACAGCCACTTGTACCAGCTCCAGTGCTTTCCTACCACCTACCATTACTGGACCACAGAATGCAGCTGGCTAGCGCAGCCGGGCCCAGCAGCTTCTCCCGGCTCCCAGCGCCCATGGGCTGGCGCCTGTCTTGCAGAAATCCAGATGCACTTCCATGTTCTAACAAGCAGAGGTCCAAACCATGTGGGGCCCACAAAGCCAGACCCCCACACAACACACTCCTGCGCTCTGTTCCAGGTCAGAAACCCAAACCCAAGAGAGCGCTGTTGGCCACCCCAGAGCACACCTGTCTGGCTTTGACTTCCTGCAGGTTGGTGAGGCGGCCATCGTGGGCCAGACCAACACCTTTGTGAAACGGCAAGGTCAGCTTGGGAAGACAGACTCAGACCTGCCACCCAAACCACAGCAGTGTCCTGAACATCCCTGTCCTCCCTCTCCCTGGCCAGGAACCCATTGGGGGCAGAGGGTACCACTCAGCCCGGGCACCAGCTGCCAGCAACAGCTCTGATGCCACAGTGACAGGAACCCAAATCTGACTTTTTTCTCCTTTTGTAAATATGCTTTTTCTTCCAGCACCTCTCCTACACACACACCTAGCCCACATACCCTCTGGCTGGGCCTCCGTGTCACCTCCCGGGTACAGCACCAGCCCTGGTCTACCCCACCATGCGTGCCACATGCCCTGCTCAGCCAGCCCCTCTGCCTTTGTCCACCGAGTCCCCTCCAGGCTCCGTGTCCTCTCCCCACCCTGTGCCCCGTGTCTGGAAACCCCTCAGGACTCCGACTCCGCCTCTCGTCTCCTTGCCTAAAACACCTGCACCCTTCCTGGGTGTCTGACCTCACGAGTGATGTACGTGCTGCAGGTGATTTTACACCAGAGACGGAAGCCAGAGTGACAAAGCGTGACCAGAGAATGCCGCGGGGCACTGAGGTACACTGCGCTCCCTGCACACTGTGTGGCAGGCGAGGCTGGGTGGAGTGCTGGAGGGTGGCCATGCACTACATGTCTTAGGGGAAAGAAGAGGGGCGCCCTGTCAGGGAAGGGCCTGCCCTCTGACACGGACCTTGTTCCTGGGAGCTGAATGCATGGGCTGTGGAAGAAGGGTGATCGTTTCAAATCTGCAGAAGCCCACAGCACAGGTCTCAGGTGGTGGCTCTGAATTAGTTATGGCAGAGCTATTTTAGATTCTAGTCATGAATAAGTGATGGCCTCATCATGCCAGCGTGTTCCTGCCGGGAAGGCTGGAGCTGCTGGTGCGGCTCCTGACCACCGCAGCACCCCAGTGTCCTGCACCAGCAACTAGAGAACTTCCTGTTCCGTCCCGGTGTCCTGTAGCTCAGGACCGAAGGCACCACTGTAGGGGTTCAGCCCAGGGAGGGGACCAGTCCCCCGTAGGAGGCCCAAGGTTGGAAGGACTCTTCAAAACGAGCTTTGTCGTGACTCAAAACAGAGTCTGGCCAAGGGAAGCTGGGCCTCCGTGTCACTTCTCCGCCTGACAGCTCACTCACAGGGGTACCACATGCTAGGTGCAACCAGGTGTGGGCCAGGCACACTGGAGTGCTCCCTAATGCCAACGGAGCATGCCTCATTACCAACCTCCTGCCGTGCCCCGGGCCCGAGGGATGCCCTGCACATCAGCTGAGTGTGGGAATGAGCTGGCAAGTCAACAGCACTTCCTTCTGCAGAGGGACACAGAAAAGCAAACAGCAGCTGCCCCGTGGCCCTCGTCCCCCACTAGCCTGGGGAGCAGCCACTCGGAAGCAGAGAGCAAGCAAGGAGCCCTCGGGGACAGCAAAACCTACTTCTTCCTTAGACATAACCTACAGTACTGTACCAGAGGCTAAAAAAGGCTCAGGCTAATTAGGCCAAGGGCTCTCGGGCCAAACGACCTGCCTTTAAGAGAGGAACCTTCTTTGCCATCTCTGAAAATGAACAATTTTGAATCCACAGCCACCTGCACCAACAGCCTGCTGCAAGCTGTGGGACCCGACTGCCCTGCTCACAGGTGCGTGGGAGGACGCCACCAGCGGAGGGACCTGCAGACCCCAGAGTCAGGTAGCCAGAGCAGCAGGCCAAGAAAGCACCATGACAAAGGGGAACAGAAAGCGCTGAAAGCCACTGTTCTGGGACCATGATCGTGTCTGGAGTCATCCTTCGAGAACTGGGGCTTTTCTCACAAAAAAGATTGGCTGGGGAACGTGCTGAAGAGCTCTTCGTGCAAGTGGGAACCCAGGGGCCCCTCCGACTTGCACCTTCCGTGCCATGGCCTTCCTCCTTTCTGACGCGAGGGACCATCCAAGCACCACAGGGAGGAGGAGGGCTCTTCCAGGTAAAACACCAAGAAACAGGAGTGGCTCACCTTGCTACCCATGACAGGGAGCAGACACTGTCTTCTAAAACGGATGCTTCCAGAAGCTAAAAGAGAACCCAGAAAAAAGCTGCAGCTGGGGCCCAGCGGCGTGGTCTAGCAGCTAAAGTCCTCACCTTAAACACTCCAGGATCCCATATGGGCACCGGTTCTAATCCCGGCAGCTCCACTTCCCATCCAGCTGCCTGCCTGTGGCCTGGGAAAGCAGTTGAGGACTGCCCAAAGCCTTAGGATCCTGCACCCACGTGGGATACCCGGAAGAAGTTCCTGATTCCTGGCTTCAGATCTGAGCAGCACCAGACGTTGCAGTCACTTGGGCAGTGAATCATCAGATGGAAGATCTTCCTCTCTCTGTTATATCTGACTTTGTAATAAAAACAAATTAATTTTTAAAAACAGTTGCAGCTTTCATCCTGACATCCTCAACATGAATGTCATCTGCATGCCTGTCAACACAGCTAGCACAACACTGATCTACGTAGACACGATACACGTCCTCACATGCTGACCTATGTCAGACACATGCCCTCACACACTGACCTATGCAGACATGACGCATGTCCTCACATACTGACCTAC